GGAGTGCAGTGGCACAATCTCGGCTTGCTACAGCCTTCACCTCCCGAGTTCAAGCCATTCTGCCTCAGCCTCCCAGGTTGCTGGGACTACAGGCACGCATCACCACGCCTGGCTCATTTTTTTTTTTAATTTTTAGTAGAGATGGGGTTTCACCATGCTGGCCAGGCTGCTCTTGAACTCCTGACCTCAAGTGATCCACCCGCCTTGGCCTCCCAAAGTGCTGGGATTGCAGACATGAGCCACTGCGCCCAGTTGCCATTTTGTTTTCAACATAAAATGCTAGCACTTGTACCAGTATGATACTAATTATCCTTCAGTGTATGTGTTCTAGAGTTTACCAGCCCTGTTCACATGCTTGGTAACAGCAAGCATGCGATTATTGTTCATTCCTACCTTTAAATTTTAGGCAGCTTGTAAAAGTTCATTGCAATAAGATAAAACATGTTAAAATGCTAAAACCGGGGTTAAGGGAGTAGAGCTCTTATCCCATTAGATCATCATAGCAGCCTTAGGGGCAGGGCAGGACAGAATTAGAGCCTTATTTCTAGCAGGGAAGTGCAGCTACTCATGTACCCTTGATTGAAGACTGGTCCTCCTCTATCGGGGGATGGTCGTCCTCTTCGACAGAGCATGCAGCTTCAGGAGGGACGTACATGGAGCAGTGAGGGAGGAAGGGGACACCCACCTAGCCAGCCAGATCACCTGAATCAACCCTGGCGATCACTAGGGTGACAGATGTCACAGCCAGATCACTCTCACAGCCTAGAACCTTATTTTTTAAATAAGCCCAGCATTGCACTGACCACAGTCCCATAGTAAGACAAGCAGAGCCCCAGCTGGGGGCTGGACCTTGCATCTTTCAGCCAGTGCTGTTCTCTCCATATCCCACCCACCTCTCCAAATGCTTATGTGACCTCAGCCTCTTTCCCCCAGGGAGCCTACTACACACAGCCGGTGTACGCTGCCCAGCCTCATGTCATCCACCACACCACGGTCGTCCAGCCCAACAGCATTCCCTCTGCTATCTACCCAGCTCCTGTTGCCGCCCCCAGGACCAACGGCGTGGCCATGGGCATGGTGGCAGGCACCACCATGGCAATGTCAGCAGGTGAGGGCAGCATCTGCATCACTGTCCATCCCTTTCCTCTAGGAACTCACAACAAAGCGGAGAGCACAGTCATGGAATCGACTGCAGCATAGCACAAGAGATCCTGTGGGGGGTGGGGGGGGGCGGGGCGGGCATGGGAACCCAGAGGAAGGAGCCTCTAAGTTTGTCTACAGGGATGACGAAGATTTCACCAAGAAGGGCATATCAAGCTAGGCCTTAAAGGGTGAAAACAGGCTAACTAGAGAATTGAAAGAGGAAAGAGTGGTGCAGAAAGAACATGATGATGGCATGTTCATAGAATGGAGGAATGGAGCCAAGGCCCTTAGGAAATAGGAGCTTGGAGTTGGAAGGTGGCTGGATCGCTGGCAAGGATAAGATGGTGGAAAGTCTTGAATACCTTGTGGTACCTCTATTGCGCACAAAGGGGGTCAGGCAGGGCAGGCAAGGACACCGTTAAGTTTAAACATTAAGCAGAGTAGAGGCAGGATTAGAAGGGGTGAGCTGGAAGCAAGTAGGTCAGTGAGGAGGCTGTCAGTGTAGTTTAGGGAAGAGAGATACTAACACTCCAGTAACAGCAGGGGCTTCAAAAAAGAGGGACACAGGGACAATATTCTTTATTAGGCAGGAGCTTAAGGACCTGTGCAATAATTATAATCATTTTGAGGGATGAGAGAAGCAGAAGTCCCCAAGGATCCTTTTTTCTTTTTGAGATAGGGTCTTGCTTTGTCACCCAGGCTGGAGTGCAGTGGCACGATCTTAGTCCACTGGAGTCTTGATCTGCTGGGCTAAAGTGATCTTCCCACCTGAGCCTCCCAAGTAGCTGGGGCCACAGGCATGTGCCACCACAGCCAGCTAATTTTTGTGGTTTTTGTAGAGGTGGGGTTTCACCATATTGCCCAGGCTGGTCTTGAACTCTTGGGCTTAAGGGATCCACCCATCTCTGACTCCCAAAGTACTAGGGTAACAGGCATAAGCCATTATGCATGGCCTAGAGACCCAACTATTAAAGAACCAGCTAGGCTACCATCTGAGATAAGAAAGTACAAGGGGCAGAGTGAGCATTTGGATTTTATTCTGCCCCTAATGTAAGGGTATGGTTGAGGCCTCTTACTCCCCAGATCAAGTCAGCAAACTGTTGGATATCTACTTGGTACCAGCCTTGTTGTTCGGGTCCTGGGAACCGGATATCAATAGATCAGACCAGAACCCTGTCCTTAAGGAACACCCAGGTTAGTGTGGGAAATACAAGACATCAGTTACTGTTCAGTATGATTGTGCAGTAAGACACACAAAAGTAAAAGAAAGGCCAGGCATGGTGGCTCACGCCTGTAATCCCAGCACTTTGGGAGGCTGAGGCAGGTGGATCACTTGAGGTCAGGAGTTTGAGACCAGCCTGGCCAACATGGCGAAAACCCCTCTCTACTAAAGATAAAAAAATTAGCTGGGCATGGTGATGTGCACCTGTAATTCCAGCTGTTCAGGAGGCTGAGGTGGGAGAATCGCTTGAACTCAGGAGGCAGAGGCTGCGGTGAGCTGAGATCACACCATTGCACTCTAGCCTGGGCAAGAGGGTGAGGTTCCATCTCAAAAAAAAAAAAAAAAAAGGGAAAAGGAGGACTTGGAATAGTGATTCTGTCCTCAAGCATCAGAAAAGATTGCCTTAAGGAGGTGAAGCCTGGTGAGGTGGAGAAGGGCAGACAGCAGTGCATCAGGAAGGTGCGGGAGATGGGGGATTTGGGCAGAGGGAACAGTCATGCCAAAGACTGTAGCTTCATCCTCTTCATTCCTGTGTCTGGTGCAACCTCATCAGGTTACTCTTCTCTCTCTGGATGCTCAGGTACCCTGCTGACTACACCCCAGCACACAGCGATTGGGGCACACCCTGTCTCCATGCCAACATACAGGGCCCAAGGAACCCCTGCGTACAGCTACGTGCCCCCACACTGGTAAAGCCTGCAGCCCATCCAAGTGAGTTCAGCCAGGGGGAGAGAGGTGGGAGGGGGATACGTACAGGAACTGCCTCAAAGCCCTTGGCTTGGGTCTGGAGAACAGGTGTCAGCTGGGGCAGGTAACAGTTGTCAAGTGACCTTGCTTTCCTGCTCCAGGGTCCATAATACCACTCTTAATAGCTATCACTTCTGTTGACTGCTTGTTGAAATCTAAGTAACAACAGAAATAATAATTGCTATCCCTTTGCTTATGTTATCTCATAATCCTTACAGTTGCTCTGTGAAATAAGGATCATTAGCTCTATTTTACAGATAACTATGTCGTTCAGTATCACTTAGCCAACAAAAATTAAGCTAAGGCTTCAACGTCAGTTCTGTAGTACCAAATTCTGTGCCATTTACCTTACGGTCTTCAGACTTCTTTTAACTGTGGGCCCCATTCTTCAAATGAAATCTTACCTAAATCATATGTTAGAGCTTTGGTTGGAGCCAGTTGGAGGCTTTGGGTTGACCCAGACCACTGGCTTCCTTAGTCACCTCAGCAGCTCATGAGGCAGTGACAGTGAACCATAGGGCCTCTGTCCTCCCCACACCTTCTCCAGGGCTCTTGGCACCAGAGCACAAGTTCCACTGGTGGGAAGTGGGCAGCTTCACTAGGAAGGCACAGAGGCCCCATGAAGGGCTCCCAAGTTGAGGGAGGGGGCCCAGAGGTTTCCTAAAGTGGCCTCTGGAATATCACAGTTTCTTTCCCCTTTCCCTCCGCAGATCTGGAGTCACACATTGTATGCAACTACTCAAGTCTTACACAGGTGCTGGAGCAGTTCCCTAGCAGCACCACCTCTATTTGCAAGAGACAACGGAAGTGCAAGGGTCACTTTATGCATCTTTAATGGTTTTGATTTTGATTTTTGGTTTCTGTAAAAGCTGCTTTTTCTAATCTCCTGCCTCTCTGCCCCTGTCCCCCTCTTAGCCGCTGCCCTTCCAGCTCTACCCCCTTCCTCTTACCTGACCAGGTCATGTCCTCTACGCTCTTCCCTGAGTGTCCTGTCCCTGGGGATCCCGGTCTAGAGGCAAGCAGAGTAGGGTTTATTGCAATGGTTCATCTGAAGGCTTGATTCCATTTGAAGAGCATAAACAGATGTGGTCTGGGGTAGGAATTCAGAGCTGTTGAGGAGGCTACATCTCTGAGGGAGTGTTCTTGTTTTTTCTTAAGATTAGTTCAGGACATTCCCATGTCCTGAACACAAATGAAATGTCTCCTGAGAACCATTGCAACAGACCGAGAACAAAACCGCCTGAGTACGTAGGAGTGTTATTAGCAGCTTAATAGCCCAGGCTGAGAATCTGGGGAAAAAGTCTTTAGAATTTGGGGGAGGGTGGGGGGAGGGAGGGCACTGTGGGGAAGGAGAGGGAAGGGAGGAGCGGTGCTTGCCTCATGGCTTTGGTTTGAAAGGTCTCTAGCCAAAGCATCTGGCCCTGGACCTTCTGATTTGCACAGTGATGTTCACTGACCTGGCACTTCCTCAAAAGGTGACTTTGACCTTAGACCTGCCAAGCAGCAGCAGGGTGGTGGGATCCCAGCATCCCGGGGCCTTGGAAGGCCAGATGCCCTGTGTAATCCAGACTTCGGCCTCTGAGCTGTCATGGACCCACTCTGATGAGGAGCTTCCTCCTGATCGGAGTGAGAACCTAGGGCATTTCTCTCCCTTTCCTTTTGCCCTTCCCAGTGCCAGGACTCACCTGTCTGTCTGTAGAGCTTGCAGGCAGGCCAAGCTCTTGGTTACCTGTGCCATTCATGGCCCAAGTGAAGGAACCACATTCCAGGTGGGTGCTGGCAGCTCTGAAGGTCAGGATAGTGAAGGAAAAGCAATAGCAATAAACATTTCATAGACTCATGGAACTGAAGGGACCTTAGCAATCATCTCATCCATTCCCCTATTTGGCAGATGAGGAAACTGAGGCCCAGAGAAGAAGAAAGAACTTCCCTAGACCTCACAGTAAATTAGCATTAAATGCAGCCTTCCTACCTAATGGCATTGCCTACAAAAATTTACCTAGGGATGGATTGGCTTGGTTTTGTAAAAATTAAGTCAGCAGCGCCCATACCTGGTAAGCTCTGGAATGGTCTCTAGGCTCCTATTTCTGCTCTTTTCCTCCATGGACTCCAAAGGCAGGGGTTAAAGACTGGGCAGAGGCCACATGGGGACAGACGGCAGGAACAGAAATTGCAAATGAAGAAACAGCACTTGGAAATTCTGTGAAGACATCTGGAACATTCATCTTGTACCTGACTCTACCTGCAGGAGAAGGAGCAGGTAGGATGGCTGAAAAGGAGAGGCTCTGCTTTTAGGACAGTAGCTCCTCATCCCGAGAGGAGAGGGAAAGGAAGAGGAAGAAGAGAATGGGAGTCATCAGGAGAGGAGGACAAGAATGAGGCCCAGGAGACAGGCTCATCTGGGAGAAGAGGGATCTCTGGGACAAGGAGGTCCCTGCTAGTCTCAGCCAGGAGCCTGGATTGCTCAGCAGCAGCCTCTGGCACCCAGCACTTGGCTGGGCCAGCAGTCCCTCTGGGGGTGGGGCATGAATATTTTACTGTATAAAATGGGATCACTGACAACATTTGGGACTTTAAAAAACCGTTTTCATTTTAAATTCATGCAAAAGTTGGACATACCCTTACCCCTACTTCCCATGTCTCCCTAATGGAGGGAAAAATCAGGAAACCCTTGGGTTGGAAGCTTAGAAGCTGTCTAGCCATTCCCAGAAGGGCAAAGCCCATCAGCATCCTTGGCCTAGAGCCAGGAGTTTGGGGGCCTACCTTCCTGGGCTTCCAAGGAACTTTAGGACCAGTAAGAAAAAAATCCAGCTGTTCTGAATTATCTGTTCTGGGGTGCTGATGAGGTTTCACTTTAAAATAACAAAGTTTTCCAGTGTTAATTCACTTTTTGCAGATACTCCTCCTACCCGCTTTGGTTTTGTAAAGGTGGGAGAAGGTTGTTCTAGATTATGTCATGTGTTTGAAAAATGCCAAAATAATAATGATAATGATGATAATAGAAACCTTTGCATTTGTCAGGTGCATCAGAGTTCAAAGCACTTCACAGCCTTTCATGTACTCACTCTGACAGGGTCAGAGTTATTACAGTCAATTGACAGATGAGGAAACAGGTTATGGAAGGGAACAGGCCCATAGTCAGCAGAATGCTGGTATCCGCCAGGCTTCCCAGAACCCTGCTGCCTCTATGTGGGCTGGGGTGGAACCACAGACAGGAGAAAGGAAGAAGAGGAGACCTAGGAATGACCATGTAACTTTTTTTCTTTCTATACCAGTAAGTAAAACTAACAACTGGACCTCACAATTCACGGAGCAGTTTAACATACATTATTCTGGCTTAACCCTATGAGATGGAGATTTCTCCAATTTGATCCTTAAGGAAATCAAGGCTTGGAAAAGTCAAGTGACTTGCTAATAAGTGACACAGCCACTTGACTTCCAGTCTGTCTGCTATCTTATTCCCCTCCATCTGATCCCCACCAGGCTCACATACTGAAGCATCTATGCTCTGTGCCCTATCTTCGCCCGTACCATGTAATTCAAGAGCAAAGGGAGGCCCCAAGGTGAAAATAAGGCACTGAAAGGCTGTGGTCTGGAAGAGCCCAGGTCCAGCACCCCTTTTTCAGTATGAGCCCCAGTTCAGCCAGCCTCAGCCCTCTTGCTGTGATAGAGATTCACAAGCCTGGCCAAGCTTGGGGAGTCGCTGCAAAGGGACTGAGCCCAGGAGAGGGGACAGTCATGTGCCTCTGGTAGGATGGGCACAGTTAACTGATAAGGTCACAGAGATCTGGTGGGCGGTACCATAGGTGTCCTCCAAAGATTCTAGATGGCATGGTAGTCAAGCTAGACAAAAAGAGCTGGAAGGGCCCTCCCATTGAAGGCAGGCAGGCAAGAAAAAGGACAAGGGATGTGCCCACCTGACAGCTACAGCACTGGCACCAGCATGCAAACCCCTTTCTCCTTCTCATGCCACTGCCTCTCCCCAGGTGCAACACCTGTGGCCAGGATCAGAGGTACAGATGGTTCCAGTCACCAGCCAACCCTTTTGAATTCCTCTACTTCTACCTGATACTGTCTCCTTACTGGCCTGGAGCCAAGGAAGTTTGAGTGTGGGAGCTGGATTGCCTGCAAATAGTGAAAGCCTGAAACAATCATTTGCCGTGTTTTGAAAAAAAAATGCATATTTAATTTCTTCCTCATGAGATAGGACAGTTGCTGTTCTTTCTTACCTGGCAAATGACCCTAAAATGTATATCCCCTTTCTTGAATATTTAGTAGGGACACACCTGTCCGGAGCTTTTTTTGGTATGCAAAGTGCTTTGACATTGGTTGCCAAAGTCCCCCATTTTATAGATGAAGAAAACTAAGGCTCAGAAGGCTTGAGACTTGCTAAAGGGTTACACAGCTTGTGATTCTTCAGACCCTCTGCTCTTTCTGCTGCCACCTGCTGGGTGTCTTGGCAAGCATGAAGGGAGGGGCTACCTATACTTACGGAGACCAGGGAAGCCCAGTCCTCTGAGCTGAGCAGATTTGTATGAACTGCTTTGGGCCAGGACCTGTAATGGGTCCTGGGGACACAGAGGCACATCTAGCTGGCAGCACAAAGACAAGAAGAATTTGCAAATTAAAGGCCTATCTTGGACAAAACAGTTTGGGGGTCACAGTGGCCAGGACCGAAGACATGTTCAAGGACAGCTCGAGGCATCTTTCTATTGAGAGGCCCATGTCCTTGGTAAGCCTGCACACCTGCCTTCCTAACCTGAGAGCATGCCCACTGTCCAGACCCAGTGATTTGGTACTTCAAGCGGATGTGGCGTAGACTTGGCCAAAAGCATGTGGACTGAGGTCCCTCGGCTTGCTTTTCCCCTGGGTGAGGAACAGAACCAGACTGTGCATCCTTACCCCTGGCCACCTAAATTGTTGCAAATTTGAGATACCTCGCTCCCAGAGATCTGGGGGTCCTTTTGAAGGCCTTGTTTTGTTCTGATGGGCTTCAGAAAGGAATCACCTAAAGTAGAAAAGTAGGACAAGTTTTGGCTCATCATACAGATAGGACTCATCCATGTTTCCAGTGAGGCACTAGCTAAGCCAGCCCCAGAGCCTCCATATCCAATTCCTCAGCTCTGTTCTGTGGCCAGAGGCAATGAGCCCCATTCTGGGCCCTGTGAGCTTTCTATCAGCATCTATATCATAATTCTTCCTCAATTGCAGTTAAGTGAAAATATATGGAAGTCTGCTTTTCTATCCTATATTCTCCCAAATCACTACTGGCTGTGCAGCCCCAGCTGCTTGCCAAGCAAGCTTGGGGATCTGGAGGGCACAGTAGTAGGATGGGCCAGTGGGACCACCCACAGAGCTGAAGAAAAACGGCCAGACTAACTGATGGGATTCCACACCAGAACCTCTGAGCACGCAGGCAGGCATGCCAGGTGGGCTGCGGGGTTTGTCCCATACTCATCCATCTGCCCCTCTCCTAGAAAACTCCTTGTTTCTTAGATTAAGCATTATATAGTTCTAGGGTCCAGCCTTCAAAATTCCTGGCAGGCCAGCTTCCACACTCCATGGCCAGCCCTGCCTAAGCCAGACTGGGGTCCCAGGCCCTCAGTTTCTCCAGTGGATGTCTTCTGTTGTGCATGCTGTTGAGTCCACCCCAAAGGCCAGCTGAGGCACACAGGAGTAGGGACTGGCTGCCACAAAGCCAGAAAGGGAAAAGACAGTACTTGTTTCCCTATGGTCACATGGATAGTCCCTGTGTATCCTTGCTATGGTAGTGAGGTTCTCTACCCATTTCCTTCCTGAAGAGAACATATATAACGGCTTTGCAGAGACATACCAGCCCATAGGAATGAAATGGGTGAAATCAGCTTTGGGCCTCACCCCAGCAAGACCAGCATCTCCAGACCCCAGCCTTTCTCCTCAGGCCTAAGAGTCAAGAGACTAAGTGGGGACTGTCCCAGAGACGACCTCCTGGGGTCAGCCAGATAGTCTGGATCTATGGTGTGACTCAAGCTCCTCCTTACCCAGGGGGAGGCAAGGCCAGGCCTCTAGCAACTTAGAGTTGTCTGTAATGATCTCTAAAGGCCCAAGGGCCTGTCCCCATCCTGACTTCAGGGCATCTGCTTCCCTGTTTCATATCACATGACAGAGAAACCTGTTCTCATGGCATGTAACATCCCTGTGAAGAGAGCGTTGTATATGATTTTGTATTTTTTAATTCATTTTAATCTACAGGTTGGAATCTAATTTTTAAATTTTATTGGAACTCACATTTTAAAAAGAAATAAAACATTTAAAATAATAATAATAAACCTTTGACCAGTGTCTTCCAAGTAGTTTGATCAAAGAATTTATAGGTGTTTTCAAAACACACTCCAGAGTGTAAAGATTGGAAAGCCCCATGGCCTCGCTTGTGTGTATGAAGTGTAAATCTGGTTTTGTTTTGTTGTTTTGGATTCTTTTGGGATTTTATGTTTTGAAGATCAGACAGTGATCACTCTGAAAGATTGAAGCCAAGAATTTGTAACTATGATATTTACTGTAAGCTGTAGAACACTCAATAACTATTAAAAAAAAAAAGTTTCCCAAAAAAAAGTCTTAGGTGACTAGACTGAGTGGTTCTTGGGGAGGGAGGCACAGAGGACTGTCCCCGGGCCAGTGAGTCCCTTGGGCTTCTCCCCAAGTTGATGCTAAACTTGTTCTCAGCGTCAAGAAATACCTAAGGTACATCTCATAGCTCATCTGACAGGGGTCTGCCTTAAGGGTGGACCCACTTTACAGCTGCTGGGGAGCTATGAAGTGGCAACTTCTGCACCTACCCTAAGTGTGTGATGTGGAAGCACAGTGAGGCCATGCAGAGTTGAAACCAGTTGAGCTGTCTGCTCAATAAAGCTGACATCTATCGAGTGCCTACTGTGTGGCTGACGCCTGCTGCTCATATTTGTTAAGGCATACAGTCCTCACAGCACATGTGAGGTGAGCCCTGTTGGTGCCATCTTAGATGGGCAAGCTGAGGAGGGTAAGTACGTTGGCCGAGGGTACAGAGCTGGTGAGGGGCAGAGTTAGAACTCACATTTGGCACTTGGTCTGGCTCCATAGCCCACGCACCAAGCCCCATGTTCTGCCCATCAAGGCCTGAGGTTTTTTTTTAAGACAGTCTCACCAGGCCGCAGTGCAGTGGCACAATCTCAGCTCTCTAACCTCTAGCTCGTGGGCTCAAGTGATCCTCCCACCTCAGCTTCCTATGTAGCTGGGACTACAAGTACACACCACTAATCCCAGCTAATTTTT